GGCAGGGGTTAGGGAAGGGAGGGACTTCAGTGGGTTATAAAGCCTTAGAGTTAAGGTTGCCCTGGCCACTGGTAGGGGATGGCAGGGTAGATCCAGGTTGGGAAATTCCTGGAGATTTGGGGATGGAACTTGGGTAGGGAGCTCAGCAGGGTACCATGCCATAGAGCCCACCCTCCAAAGCATCCATTTTCTCCAGGAGAAGTGATCTCTGTAGTCTGGAGGAGAGGTCTAATTCCAGGAGATCCCCAGGTCCCACCTGGAGGCTGGCATCCCTACAGTCCGCCTTCCAAGGTGGCCATTTTCTCCAGGTTAACTGATCTAGGTCGCCTGGTCAGTTGTAGTCCCAGGAGATCTCCAGCCACCACCTGGAGGTTGGCAACCTTAGCAAGTCCACTTCCCAGTACCAGGTTGGCCTCACCATCAACAAGAGAATCCCCAGCGATCTGATGAGTTCCATTAATAACAGCAAGTTTGCCTGGTGGTATATCCCCTACATGTAGGTAACGGACAAGAGATAAGCCATTAACCAAACATGTTGGTTGAAAAAGAAATTGGCTCAGCACTTGTGTTTTCTTTGCACACCAAGGTCAGCGCACAGGTGTCCAGAAGGTAGCAGGTTCTCACCCTCCCTTCGCTTGGCTTAGTCAAGCAGCCGTGGGGAGAGATAAACAGAGCTAGATGTTCATCTGGACAGAAGCCGAACCAGTACCTTCTAGAAGGGGAAAGTGGAAGTGTGCAGAGGAACTGACTGATGCTATCTATGGGGCACTGACCACAGTGAACATATAAGAGCTCTTGGCACAGAATATGTTGAGCGTTAATGGTAATAAAGACCAGGTTTCCAAGAGGTGGCCCTGCCCTGGATGGCACAGGCAAGCCTGATCACATCAGATCTCAGAAGCTTAGCAGGGTTGGCTCTGGTTAGCACTTGGATGGAGACCACCAAGGGAGTCTGGGGATGCTGTGAGCCAGTCATTTGGCTACTGCATAAATTGGTTTGCTCTGGAGCCATCCTGCCTGAGCTAAGACAAAAATGTGGGAGCTGGAGGCTAGAAAACTGCGAGCTAGCTCCCACTTACTCAGCTTAGAGGGAACAGTGGTTGCTGTAAGTTTGTCACAATTTAATGGCACTTTCAACCTTAACCTGGGAGGAAGAAACCACTGAGACATGGGCTGCATCCACCAGGTTGTTTCTCTAACAATTCATAAAAGTAAGATGCCTGCAGTACACTTCCAGTGCGATCCTGTGCAGAGGTATGCCAGTTTCAGCCCTTATGCTGAAGAAACTGCAGAGGATAGGAGAGCCAGATTCTACTGAATTTATCTCATCCTCTGAAGCCAACCTATAAAGTTCTTTCTTACTTCATACTTTGTCTCAGAAGGAACAAATCTTCCTGTGTTATAATGGATAAATATTAATAAAACTTAGATGTTATCTAGTGATATCCACTACAATCCCCTAGAAGTCATAGAATAATACCGACCCGTGATTCTTTGGTTCTACATTGCTGAAATGTCTTTTTCTTAAGTGGAAAAAAAGGTATTGCTATAGAATTGCTTGCTGCTGACTTGCATATTTCCATAACTGCCTGAAACACTCTGTACAACAGGAATGGGATTTGGGAAACTCATGACCCAGTAGAAAGAAAACTTGAAGTGAAACAAACAGAAGGTGAAGACAGATCCCCCACAATTTGGTATCAAAATAAAAACACACCATACAGTTACAATAACTGTCGACCCTAATCAGATCTACTCAGAATCTCACTCAAGGCTACTTAGTGGGGCTTATTCCCAGGAAGGTGTTCTTAGGATTTCACTGCAAGTACAAGGTTTTGCAGAGAGACAGTGCAGTGTAGTGGTCAGAGTGTCCAACTAGGATCTGGGAGACCAACTAGGGTCCCTACTCTCCCATGGAAGCTTGCTGGGTGACCTTGAGCCAGGCACACGCTCTCAGCCTAACCTACCTCACAGGGTTGTTGTGAGGATAAAACGGAGGGAAGGAGAATGATGTAAGCTGCTTTGGGTCCTCATTGGGGAGAAAGGCAAGAGATAAATTAAGTCAATAAACTTTGATACATTACAAACAATGACCACCTTACCAACCAATTTATTTGATCTTTTTCTTTGAGCTAATCCTTTTATAATCTGTGCGGTTAGTTATTGCAGCAATTGTCCCCTTTACTAAAAAATCTGATATTAGCAGAATATTTGATGTCCAATATGCTCCTAAACATTATTTTAAATCCAAAATTATAAAATCCAGCAGGAGATTCTAGGTGTAAAGAGATAAAAATTTGGATTATATCAGTAGTGGCCTCTCTAACCAGAGCATCATGTGTCTGTTAGTCATTGTTATCTGGTACACTGCTGTATCGGCAGTGGCATCTCTTACCAGAGCATCATGCGTCTGTTGGTCATTGTTATCTCGTGACTTTTAGGGTGTCTCTTGGGTATCAATATATAACATCTGGAAATGATTTTTTTTTTAACCAATGTTTGCCCTTTAGACCCAACATTATATCCTCTTGAGACTCTGCACAAAGCCTGCTCCAGGGTTGTCAACTACATTTTATGAATCCAAGCTCTCCAAACACTTGAATTGACTGGTGCTGATCCAGAGATGTTCCTGCCCAATGAGTTTGTATCCAGCTCTTTGTCTCTCCCTGGGTGAGCTGCAGCGTTGGCCGGGTTTATGGTGTGATTCTGTCTTCTCCAGTGTGGTGAGGCTCATAGATTTATAGACTGGCGAAAGGAACCGGGGTGTCCAAATGAGCCAAAACTATGTTAGACTAGTTCTAGTGCATGCTTATTATTATGTTAGACCAGTTCTAGTGCTTGTTTATTATTATGTTAGACTAGTTCTAGTGCTTGTTTATTATCCATTTATTATTTTAAAGAAAAACAGTATGCTGTATGTCAGGACCCACTTTCCTGCCCTGCCACCCACCCACGTTCCGTTTCACCCTCTGCTTGCAAACATTCGACCAAAGCCCCTTGTGCTCCCAGATGACCGTATTGCCCAGTGTATTGGCGGTGCAAAGTAGCGGCAGTGTTTCCAGTTGCATGCATTGCTCCGCACTGTCAGGAAAAGGGCTGCTGGCATGACCGGTGGCTGTGAGCCCAAGTGGTGGGAGAACTTGCAAGCAGGTGGGGGTCGGGTTGCCAGCTCCAGGTTGGGAAATTCCTGGACATTTGAGGGGCAATGTGGCATATGCTAATGAGTTATGCTAATGAGTTCCCCTAGCTCTTTTTCTACGAAACGACCCCTGATATTAAGCGACACACCCCTAATGTAGCCAATCCTCCAAGAGCTTACAGTAGCTCTTGTAAGAAGAGCTCTGTAAGCTCTGGGAGGATTGGCTACATTAGGGGTGTGTGGCCTAATATGCAAAGGAGCTCCTGCTACAAAAAGAGCCCATCGCAATGCAGCCATCTTCTCAAGGGGAACTGATCGCTGCTGCCCGGAGATCAAGCTGTGATTCCAGAAGATCTCCGGGCCACATCTGGAGGCTGGCAACCCAACACGGGAACAGGCCAGGTGGCATGAGAGTGGGTAGGCAGGAAGGGAAGCAGTGGGCATGGTGGTGGACAGAACAGAGGAGGGGGGTTCCTGGGCACTCTGTGTCTAGGGCCTAGGGATGCCAGCCTCCAGCTGGGACCTGGGGCTCCCCTGGAATTGCAGCTCATCTCCAGACTACAGAGATCAGTTCCCCTGGAGAGAATGGATGTTTGGAGGGTAGACTTTGTGGCATGGTGCCCCACTGAAGTCCTTGTCCTCCTCAGGTTCCATCCCCGAATCTCCAGGAGTTCCCTACCCTGGATCTGGCAACCCTATGCCCCCCCCATCACCCACTAGTGGCCACGGGGGATCTGGCATCCCTACCAGGCCCCCTCTAAACCTGGAACCAGCCCTGCTGTGTGTGCTCCACGTCTCTTCCACTGATTTTTCTCTCTCTAAGTGGAGCAAGGTTCTCCAACCTTTTTGGGCTTGCGAATAGTTTTGAAATTCTGACACAAGGCAGTAGGCGCAACCACAGAATGGCTCCCAAAAGAGGTGGGGCCAATCACAAAATGGCTGCCCCAGGAGGCGGAGCTGACCCCCAAATGCACAGGAGTGAGGTCACGCATGCCTCGAAGAGTAACTCTTCAAGATTTCAGACTGATGCTGTGCTTAAAATTAAAATATATATATATATATATTCTTGTAGGCACACTGCTTACATTCAGTCATGCAGTGAAGATGCTCGTGCGGTGGGGTCAGATGCTGCCAAAGCAACTTATCACAAAATCTGCATAGCCAATCAAAAGCCCTGCTGGGCAAAAGGCCCACCTCGGCTCACCCGTCGGTGGGTGCCATGTTGGGGACCCCTGTTGAAAGATCTGATTATTTCAAACCTGCACCTTCATACTGTTTATACTCTGCAGAGCTTCTATATGTACTTCAAGGGTGGTCCCCATAGCTAGCGTTAGTCACATAGTGTGAACCCTTGCGCTTCTCCCTTCTAGAAGAAGATGGATCTGCCCGTTTGGTGTAGTGGATAAGAGCGGCAGACTCTAATCTGGAGGACTGGGTTTGATTCCCCACTCCTTCTCATGCAGCTGCTGGGTTACCTTGGGTCAGTCACAGTTCTCTCAGAGCTGTTCTCTCAAGAGCAGCTTTCTCAAGGCTTTCTCAGCCCCACTGACCTCACGGGTGTCTGTTGTGAGGAGAGGAAGGGAAGGAGACTGTAAGCCACTCTGAGACGCTGAGTGAAGGGTGGGGTATACATCCAACTCTTCTTCTCTTCCTCCTCCTCCTCTTCCTCCTTGTCCTTCCCAAACCCAATCTCTCTTTGCCAGCTGTGGGATGGTGAGAACGTGGAACCTTTCGGGCACCTGTGCACTGACCTTTGTGTGCAAGCCAAACAGCACTGGGCCTATTTTTATCTTGTTTTCCTAATCGCTTGGGTCCAGTTCACCCTTGACCGTGTACGGACACACCACCAGGCAAAGCTTCTGTTATGGATCTAAGCCGATTGCTGGGCATTTTCCTGGGGCTGCTGCTACCTTATGGTAAGGATCAGGTGTGATTCTTGAATCCAGGAAGGGGTTTGGACATGTTTTGTTTAGTCTTTGATGTGGGAGTTTAAAAGATTGTTGAATAATTGCGCTTGTGTGACATTGATACGCGCAAACAGTACACGCTGTCAGCCATAGAAACGTGACTGTCTTATTGCAGTTCTTTTTGTCCCCTTCTATTTAGTATTTGAGAGCAGTAAATGAATGCAATATCTGAGGGGCAGTTGGAGAACCAGTATGGTATAGTCAGTAAGACTAGGACTGAGAATTTCAAATGAGAGTTCAGTGTGAATGTTCATGATCCTGTAACATTCCCTTCTTTGCAAAGCCTGTCGGTGTCCTAATTCAGAATTCCGCAGAGTCTGAAATTCATTTTCATTTCCAAAATGCAGATATTATATTAGTTGGCTCCTAAATACTAAGTATTCCCAGGAAGTCCACGCCGGATGCTGTATCTTTTAGCTTTCCTCTAGCAGAGAACAACAGAGAGATGCCAGTTATTTTGCAGACGGATTGGCAGGTACTGCTATTTTTCGAGTGTCTGGCATCCGTCTCAGATTCATGGAAAGCTTTCCCTGTTTATGTTGCAGTATCTCCGTATCGCAATCGGATAATCGGAGGCAGGGAATGCCCCGAGGATGCACATCCCTGGCTCGTGCAGCTGTACGATTTAACATTGCCTTACTGTGCTGGAATACTGATCGACTTAAACTGGGTGGTCACTGCGGCTCACTGCTGTCTAAACAGGTAAGGGGTGATGGGTACGAAGAGGTAAGGGGTGATGGGTGAGGGAGATGAGGGGACCTATTTAGAATTCTCTTTCAGACCCTGGCTAATATTTCCAGTGAACATAGTGTGTGGTCTGAAGTGGTGCCATAAGCTCAGTTCCAACTTTTCCAGCAGGCATGCCATTTGCCCACTCCGGCCGTCTGACCCTCCCACCCACCCTTCTCCATCTGGGCTAGCAGAACAAACATCGGTAGGGGGAAATGACATTAGGCAATGTGCTGCATCCGGAAGTGACATCACTATCTCAGCTGATGCTCTGGAAACTGTATGGTAACACCATAGTGACACGCTGTACATCTGGTGGATGCACTGCACAATGTCCTGTCTGCCTCTTGCCCCACCTCCAAAGCTCCTGGGGTGCCAAATGACATCCTGCATCACCAGGGGTCATCTCCTGCGGGAGCGCACAGGAGCAGAGCTCCGGCAGTAAAGAGCTCAGGGGGTGGGCACATGCAACAAGCCCCCCCCCCTGCTCCCAGCAGCCCTCAGTCAGAGCAAGAAGCAGCCAGGTAAGCTGCAGAGCCCCCCCCTGTCCAAAACAGTCTAGTGGCACCTTTAAGACCGAGTTGTATACAGGTACAAGCTCTCCCTCCTCTGCGAGGACAGATCAGCACATCCCCCCCCCCCAAACAGCTAGCAATCCAAAACAGTCCAGTGAAGCCTGTGTGGTGGGTGCTGCCTTCTGTTCTGGCACACTTCCGGTGACGTCAGGGGGTGTAACATATGCAAATAAGTTATGCTAATGAGTTATGCGAATGAGCTCCTACACCTCTTTTTCTACAAAATGACCCCTGTATCCCTATGGCAATTTATCACAGGACTTGTGGGATCATTACAGTCGCAAATTCAGCGTCAAAGGTTAAGTTGGAAACTGCTCTTAAAGAGGTGGTCTGTGAATCCAGATGTTTTCACACTGCTGGTACTAATTAGCATAGTGCAGTTGGCTTATTAGTTGTTCTGGATTATCCGGGCTATATGGCCGTGGTCTTGGCATTGTAGAGCCTGACGTTTTGCCAGCAGCTGTGGAACTCCTACAAGATAATGACTCAGCCCTACCCCACCTTCCTGAGTAGATATAAATTACCTGCTGTGACGACCTCTTCTCTGGGGAGGTCTGGTTTTCCTTTAAACGTGTTCTTATGTATTATTTTACTTTGGGTATCCGGCTGCCACCAGGAAATTTTATAAGGCTTTCCAAACCTTTTTCTATAATATTCCTATCACAGGGTAGGTGGATCGAGAGTTTAGGCGTTCGAGGAACTATGTGTTTCCTGGGAAGAATTTCTTTAGTACTGGTATCTTAAATAAAAGTAGAATTATTTGATATTTCACACACTTTTCCCTCTTACTGACAGGGATCTGGGCATGTCACTTTGTAACAATATTTTCCTTAGGCCATATACGGTTACTGTTTCTTTATGTTTCAACTTTTCATAACGCACACAAGACTTCTCTCTCTCAGACCTTAAAACGAACAAACTGCTTAACTCTTTTACTACACAGAACCCAATCATCCCACACAGGGATGAGTCTCCTTCCACTCATACATAGCTTAACTGACTTCTGCTTCTCTCACAGAAATCAGAACTCGAACTGCTTAACTGAACATCAACTGTCTTTCTCAACAGTCATCTCACTAACTGACACTCTTGACTGACATATCTGCTCATCCACACAGAATCATTTCCAAAATCCCTCCCCCTCTCTGTCACTCACCAATCACACAACTTGCCTGTTTCAACCACACTAGACTTTCATACAGCTATGCATCCAAACTTCTAAAGACACACCCACATATAAACAAGGAATCGTTACACCTGCCTACCAGTTTTCTTCTCACCTTGACACAGAGAGTACTCCATCTTTCCATGTTATACCTCTGAGGATGCAAGTCACAGCTGCTGGCGAAACGTCAGGTCCTACAATGCCAAGACCATGGCCATACAGCCCGGGAAATCTACAACAACTAATGAACTCCGGCCATGAAAGCCTTCGACGACATATTGTAGTTGGTTTGTCCGTTAGTTAAATGCACAGCCCGGTCTAATGAGTCACAGGGACCAAGCCTCCATCTTCCCACTACTTCCCATTTCCTGCCTTTAGAGGGAGACCTGCGGGCATGTTCAGCTGCTAGTCACATGCTATCTGCTCTAGGCCAGAGGCCCAGTCAGACCTCCATTCCAAACTAGAGCAGGGGGCACCTATGCAGTGCCTATCAGGAGCTGGATGATGAACTAGCGCTGTCCTCGTCGGTGTCGCTCCCCAGTCCCTCAAGTGTGGCCACCTCTTCCGTCACTCCCAGGAAGATGATGGCCTCAGACACCTGGACGGGGGAAGGTGGTTACTTCACCAATCAGTTCACTCCCGTCCCTGCGGGCAGACGTACACTCTCTCTGTGCCTCAGTCTTCCAGGAGTCATCCTCGGCCTCCTCCATTCCCACCCTTATATCCTCCTTCCCCGTCTCCCAAGGTGCCCTGCTTGGTTCTGTGTTTCCCTCCCCCTTGGGCCACGCCCCCGTATAAGAGTGGAGATGCCCGTCCCCGGGCGTGGCTCTTTCCTCTCCTACCTCCCCTTGCTCGGGCCGCGGCGCCCGTCTCGGCCGCCGCACTCTTGCACCGGGTCTGTGTCCCCGTGCTGCTGGCTCGCCCCAGTCATGTTGTTCTCTGGCCGCCCCTCCCTCCTTAGGAAGGCGAGAGGCAGGTGTTCCGCCACCTGCCTCCACGGTCTCCATTCCTCCCCCGTCCCTGCCTCGGGTCTCGCCGCCGCGGCACCTCCCGGCAGCCCCGACTCCGCCCGTCAGCTCTGACGCCGGCCCTGACCCCTCGTCTCCAGCCGGTAAGTGTCTGAACCTCCGTCGTTCTTCGCCCCCGATTCGCGGGGGTTTCGGTGTCTTCGTCTTCGGGCCGGTCGACGGCTCGTTCTGGTGACTTGGGGGAAGGGCAGTCCCGTCCTCAGGACACCCACCAAGTGTTTTTTTAGGAACTCGGCAGGACCAGATAGGGCTCTTGACCACCAAGGCTTCTGATTGGCTCCTGGAGATTTGATTGGCTGTGTGGTTTTTTTAAAATGTTGTTTTGGCAGCCGTTGCCACCACGACGCAAGGATCTGCACTTCGTGACTGAAGGTAAGCTGCAGCGATCATTTACTGACTGGCTCTGCCTCCCGTGGCAGCCATTTTGTGGAAGCCATTTTGTGGCTGTGCCCACCATGCCGTGTCACAATCCCAAAGGTACCCGCAGGCTCAAAAAAGTAGAGGAGCCCTGAACTAGAGCACAGATCAGCTGGTCAGTCAAGGCTTTGCTTCAAGGGACTCTTCTCTTTTGAGATCTTTGCCGCTTTTTCTCACAGGAGATCGATCGTGATCCGTCTCGGAGAGCACAGCTTGTCAGAGTCATCTGGGCATGAGCAAATGAGGACCAGCACAGAAACTGTTTTATTCAACCCCAGCGCCGTCTGTGAATTTGAATGCGAAAATGACATCATGCTGATAAAACTGAACACACCTGCTGTCCCTACGGCTTACGTAGCCCCTCTCAGCTTGGCCACGAGCCCTCCCTCGTTGGGAACAAGCTGCACTGTGGAACTCCGTTCCTGTGTGTTCCTGCCCAAAAATAGCCCTGGACAAAAGCCACGTGGAACACGGGTTGTCGTCAGGAGCGGGACTGAGTGAGAGTGAGCAAAGAAGTCAGGTGGATGCAACCTATAGGGCGCACCAGCTCCAGCAAGGCCCAGCATTCCCCAAAACCCATATCGATCTTTGATCTGGCACTGGCAGGGCAATGGCTGATGACCAGAGACCACTGCGGTTTCTCATGGAAGGGCCACAAAACTTGAAGCTCACACTGGGAACAGCACACATCCAGAGGGACCAATCAAGGTAGGGCTACAAAGCCCTGAAGCCCACTTTGGTAAGAGTGCACACGTAGCGTGGGGTCAGAATAAGGGGAGCTTGTAGGAGTGACAAACTCTACCATGCAGTCAAAAAGTGCTCCTGCCAGGAGAGAAGGCAGACCTGGGAGAACAGGGAAGATGCAGAAGTACTTGAGATAGCCCTCACCAATGCTCCCTCTAAGCTGTGGAGTCTTGTGAGCAAAAATTCTGCTTCGTGAGCTACTGGCATTAAAGTTGTGAGGGAGCGATTTGGCTACTGCATAAAATTAGTTTACTCTGGAGCCATCCTTCCTGAGCTAAGGCAAAAACGTGTGAGCCAAAGCCTAAAAATCTGTGAGTTAGCTCACACTAACTCAGCTTAGAGGGAACACTGGCCTAGACACAGCAGGGGAAACCGCCATGTGGATGCTTTGTCTACATGGTGGATCGTCACCTTGTGGAAGCAGCCCTAGTGAAATACTATATCAAGACTGTTTTCTTAAAAAGGGGAGAGTGGGGAAAGGAGAGCACGCTCTCCCTGTCAAGCAGATCCTCCTCAAGCATCTGCTAGACCAGGGTTCCTCAACACAGTGCCCAAGGTCACATACTGAGGTTTGCAGAACATGGGCAGGCCACTGTAAGGTACATCATCATGTCGGGGATGTTGTGTAGTGCTCTGGTTTGAGGGCAAAACTCTATGGTAAAACCAACTTCAAACTATAGAGTTTTGCCCTCAAACCAGAGCGTCATGCAGCAACGTTGCTGTTGGGGGCTGGGGTTCTCCCCACCAGCCAGCTGGCTGGCAGCAGGCAAAAGCCCCCCAAACCAGGGGGGACCTGGGGACTGGCAACCCTAACTACAATGGCAGCTGCAGCCACTACAGGATCAGGGCTGGTAAGCACCTATGCTTTGCTTGTGTGATTCCATTCTCCCTTCAGACTTTCCTTCTTAATATTCCCCTTTCTCCCTTCTTGCCTCCCCTTGGGCTTTCCTTCTTTTTATCCCCCTTGTGTGATTATTTTGCAAAGTGAGGTATTGTGATTGGCTCTGCCTTTTAGAGCAGCCATTTTGGGTTTGGCTCTGCCTTCCGTGGCAGCCATTTTGGGGTAGCACTCACCACCTCCTCTCCAAATTCCAAAGATGTCGTCATGTTTTTAAAAAGTTAGCCAGTATTTCCTCTAAGATGAGTTAGCATATGCTAGCTCACTGTTTTTTAGCCTCCGGCTCACACATTTTTGTCTTAGAGCAAACTAATTTATGCAGTAGCCAGTCGCTCACAAAGTAGAATTTTTGCTCACAAGACTCCACAGCTTAGAGGGAGCATTTGTTAGGGACCCCTCTGCTAGATGATCACGACTACCTTTGCTCTTTTCAGAAACATTTCCCGACGTGCCTCAGTGCGTTAACATTACGATCCTCGAAAGCCAGTTATGTGAGGATCCATTTCCATGCGTTGTGCCTGAGAATATTCTTTGTGCCGGGGTTCTTGAAGGAGGCAAAGACTCATGCCGGGTAAGGAGCTTTCCCCTTGTATTTATTTATTTATCATATTTATACCCCGCCCATCCCGCAAGCAGGCTCAGGGTGGCTCACAAAACGGGAAGTACACAGGAAGTTGAGTGTGCTCATAAAACAATGGAAGACAAACCAGGCCAAGATGCCTAACTGTTGGGATGACTTCTCTACCAAGCCAAGAATTCTAATCCCCCTTATAAATAAAAGCCGAATGGTAGTGGCACTTCTCTAGAACATTCCACACGCTCCAAAATCAGTTCGCTCTCTGATCTGTCATTCAGAGGGTCTCCCTATCCACTGGCTGCTTTGCCTGAGTCCTGCCTCCAACATTCTAAACTTTTTGCTGTTCCTCTCCCCCCCATAGCCAGTCAGAACACAGAGGTTATTTGCATATATTGGCCTTTGCCTTGGAACACAGAGGTCGTTTGCATATGCGACTTGATTGGCTTTTGCCTCTAACATTCTAAACAGTTTTGCTGTTCTGAGGTAAAATGTGTCCAATCTCCAGGTGAGGGCTGGAGATCACTCAGAATTACAACTGCTTTCCAGATGGCAGAGATCAGTTCCCCTGGAGAAAATGGTGGGCTCTGTATCCTTATATGCTGCTGAGGTGGCCCCCGTATGACAGCCAATGTGACGTAGCAAGTCAGGGCTTCAGAGCACGGGAGAGGCTGCAGGATGTAGGCAGAGGCTTTGTCTGTAGCACAAGGCCCATGCACCTTGGAAACGACTTCCCGGGCAAAGCTGCCTCTAAATGGTGACAATGACTGGGAAGACCAAAGGGAGAGGGGAGAGTCTCCTTCCTCTAGGGTTGCCAGCTTCGGGTTGGGAAATACCTGGAGAGTTTGGGGGTGGAGCCTGAGGAGGGTGGGGTTGCAGAGCGGAGGGACTTCAATGGGGTACAATGTCATAGAGTCCACCTTCCAAAGTGGCCCACTTTCTCCAGGGACCTGATCTCTGCTGTCTGGAGATCCGTTTTAATCCCAGGGGATTGCCAGGCACCACCTGGAGGTTGGCAACCATGCCTTCCTCCCACCATGTGGTATCACAGCATGCACTAATAAGAACTTTTGTGATCTTCTTCTAACAGGGAGACTCTGGCGGGCCACTTATCTGTGACGATATGCTTCAGGGCATCGTGTCTTTGGGTGGGACCCCTTGCGGCCAGCCATACCTGCCAGGTGCCTACACCAAAATCAGCCAATATGCCAGCTGGATCCAGGAAATCATTGGTGGAAGTGACAACGGAGCCAAGTCCTAAGCGTGTAACTCTGGCAGAGGCCTCTCGGAGTGGGGAAGGGCTTCCCAGAAACGGTTTCCTTTTTCCCCAGTGACCTATTCTTGCAAACACATTCTCTGCTCCTTTACTCAGAAGGAGGTCTCAGTAAATTGAATGGGACTGATTCCCAGATACATGTGCGTTCCATTGTCCTGTCCTACCCCAACCATCCTTGGATTGATCCCCCCCCCCCACGAGTGTTATCATTATGAATCATTATGCTAAAATCGCAAATTTGATATGAATGTCTGGCTCTGAAACCTAACAACTGGGGGGGGGGGAATAAAGCGATTGTTGTCCTTATTCCTGGATAATACACAAAAGTTTTACTCTCTTTTTTTTGGTATTGTGTGTGTGTGTGTGCACGCGCTTGCTTGCTTGCTTGCTTGCGAGCCTGGAAGTCAAGGTGACTTCTAGTTACCCCTAGTGGGGCTAGGATGTTTTTCAGAGAGGTGGCTTGATTGCCTGCCTCTGCATGTCAGGTTCAACAGCAAGTAAATCTCCACACACGTTTCCAGGGAAGCGTTATGCTTTATTAGACTACAGGTCTATCACCATGTCCACAGGTTTATTGTTAGGAATGACGATGGGGTGGAAGCATCCCTACATATAGCAGGATGAGGTAAATGGCTAAGCAAATGAAATCCAAGCGCACAGGAGGAAATTCTCCCGGCAGGAGGTTACATAATAAGCGGGAACTTACAGCAGGACCTGGCCTTTTCCCGCCGGTTCCATCACCTCCTCCCCACTTGACTCGTTTTCCAACACATCCACCTCGGCTTCCAGGGCGCGGGGGCTTCTGGCTCTCACCGTTCCTTTTCTGGGAAGCAAGTCGCTCAGGGGTTTATCACCTTCTTTCCCTGTTGATCCTCTGCCCTCTCCCGAGAGACAGTTAGCTGCAAAATGGCCTCGCTCCCCACATTGTAGGCAAAGCCATTGTTTCATCCGTTGCTCTCTGACTGATGGCAACTGCAGGGTGGCCTTTGCCTTGGGGTGGGGTGGTGCCGTGGCTCTCCTGGCCGCTATCGCGTTATCCTGCCACATAGTGCGCAAGCGGCTCTTGGCGCTCTCCGCATCCTGCATCCATGCCACCAAGGTTCTTGGGTCTCGGGTCCCCAAGACCGAGTTTCGAATGTCTGCATTCAGGCCCAGCAGGTACTGCTGCGCAAACACTGGGTTGGTTCAGTTCCGGATTTTGGCCGCTTGCCGGTGAAAGTCGGTTAAGTATTCCCGAACAGACAACTTGCCAGTTGAGTATTCCCGAACAGACAATCCCGGCCCTGGTATTCCTTGGAGGTCTCCCTTCCAAATATTTGCTAGGGTTGACCTTGCTTAGCTTCCAAGATCTGACGAGATTGCGCTTGCCGGCGCTATCCAGGTCAGGGCACAAGGGTGTTACTCTTGACTGCCAAACCTGTGGGTATTAGCCCCCATGTGGAAGCAGCCTATATCCTAAGCAACATTTCCCTTCTTCTAGAAAAAGGGCTTCGTGTTATCTGAAAGGCAGCCTTGTGAACACAAGTTGGATTGCATTTCTAAAAGCACAAACCAAAATTCCAAGAGCTAAATGGTCTGGCAGGACTAAAACAGTGCAGAACTGTTCGTGT